TCGCCGATGCATCCTGGATGCATCGGCGATGTGATAAGATCATCTGAACCACTTTGTTCCGACCTGAGGAGGAAGGAGGGGGGGAGGAGGAGGAGGAGGAGGAGGAGGAGGAGGAGGAGGAGGAGGAGGAGGAGGTGGAGGTGGAGGAGGAGGAGGAGGTGGAGGAGGAGGTGGAGGCTTCTTAGGAGGGTGTTTCGTTCACCCTCTAGTCGGGGATGGGGATGATGAGCTCCTTGTAGACCCCTTCGCGGAGCGATTGCTTCGCCTGCTGAACACCTTTCGGTGGCTTCTTGTATGGTCGCTGACGTCTGGGGGCCTTTCAGGTCGTCTCAGGGGTGCCTTAAAGGCTCTTCGGGTCGTCTTCGAGGCCTCTTGGACGTCACTTGGGGCCCTCTTGGGCTGCTGCTGCTGCTGCTGCTGCTGCTGCTGCTGCTTCGGACGATGATGAATATGAGGAGGAGGCGGAGGTGGATGCGGAAGAGGAGGAGGAGGAGCAGGAGGAGGAGCAGGAGGAGGAGGAGGAGGAGGAGGAGGAGGAGGAGGAGGAGGAGGACGAGGAGGAGGGGGAGGAGGACGACTGTAGCGTATTGCAGATGTACTCTAGATGAGTCGGGTGGGGCACATGGGTTTCCCCATGCTTGACGGTACTCGTAGAGGTTGAGAGGGCCAACCTTTGGTCGCGGGGCCTGTTGCAAGGACCGTTGTTGGCTCCGTGAGGAGGAGGAGGAGGAAGAGGAGGAGGAGGAGGAGAGGAGGAGGAGGAGGAGGAGGAGGAGGAGGAGGATGAGGAGGGGGAGGAGGAGCACGAGGAGGAGGAGGAGGAGGAGGAGGAGGAGGAGGAGGAGGCGGACGAGGAGGAGGAGGGGGGAGGAGGAGGAGGAAGAAAACGAGAAGGAGGAGGAGGAGGAGGAGGGAGGAGGAGGAACAGGAACAGGAACAGGAACAGGAGGAGGAGGAGGAGGAACAGGAGGAGGAACAGGAGACGGAGGAGGAGGAGGAGGAGGAGGAGGAGGAGGAGGAGGAGGGGCATGAGGAGGGCAAGCTAGGTGCGCTCGCGTCGTATCCGACGTCCTACCCCTCCCTCCCATCTATTCGCACCGTTGGATGTCGTAGCATTGCATGGCACTACATGGCATAGCATGGTGTTGAAGATCAACGCGTAGCATGACATCGCATGGCGTGCATGGCGTGGCGACGCCCAAAAGTGGGGTGGGGGGCTTCTGCGGCCCAAACACTACATAATCGGCACCAACTGTGTAATTGCTTCGGATATTTTTTTGGAGGGCATTTTTTTTGGGGGGGGCCTATTTGGAAGGATTAAACACCATGCCGTGGCATGGCACTGGAAATAATGACGCCAGCGCTCGCTGCAGCGGGAGCACGAGTCGGAACGAGCGGAAGCCAGAACATGAGGCCAGCGCTGCAGCGGGAGCACGATTCGGAACGAGCGGACGTCCGATTATGAGGCCAGCGCCTCAGCGGGAGCAGCATTGTGAAACAACAGCCAGGTGAAAACTCAATTCTCGTGAATCCTGTGTATTAAAAAAACCGTGCGCGGGGGAGGAGGGGGAGGAGGAGCAGGAGGAGGAGGAGGAGGAGGAGGAGGAGGAGGAGGGGAGGAGGGGGAGGAGGGCAAGCTAGGTGCGTTCGCGTCATGTCTGACATCCTACCCCTCCCTCCCATCCCTTACCATGGCGCAGATCCCCTCTCTACTCGCACAGTCGGATGTCGAGCAGGGCAATGATCCCAAAGGGTACGCGATGCATTGTAGAGCACGGCATGGCATGGCGTAGAAGAGCACCGCAAAGCGTAGTATCAACCTAGCATTGCATTGCATGCCGTGGCATGGCACGGGAAATGACGCCAGCGCTGCAGCGGGAGCACGAGTCGAAACGAGCGGAAGCGCGGAAATGAGGTCAGCGCTGCAGCGGGAGCACGAGTCGGAACGAGCGGAAGCCAGAACATGAGGCCAGCGCTGCAGCGGGAGCACGATTCGGAACGAGCGGAAGTCCGGAAGTCCGATTATGAGGCCAGCGCCTCAGCGGGAGCAGCATTGTGAACAAAATGCAGGCGAAAACCCAACTCCGGGGAAACCTGTGAGTGAAAAAACAGTACGCCGGGGGGGTCGAGCACATTCAAACCGTCATCAGGGGAAGAGGGAGAGTAGTATTCATATTGAGGAATTGTGGAGGAGGATCAGGAGGAGGATGAGGAGGAGGAGGAGGAGGAGGATTGAGCTCCTATTGAAGGCTTCCGGGGAGCGTCAAGTCGCCTCCTGGGAGCCTCATAGGGCCCTCGGTCGTCTGAGTGGTCCTCGTGCCCTCATGGGAGCTTTCATGGTTAAGAGTGGAGGACCACCCCGATCCCCATCACTGGCGTTTACGAAATGGTCTTGGGCGTTGACTAAACAGTCCTGCCCTGATCGGTTCCTTCCTTGGGTGCGTTCAATAGAGGGTCTCGCTTGTAGCAGTGCCTCTTATGAGGGAGGGTGTTTCTTTCCCCTTTTTAAGACGGGTATGATGAACTCCTTGAGGACGGCTCCGTGGAGCGATTGCGTCGCCTCCCGATTGGCTGCTGACGTCTGGCGGCCTCTCAGGTCGTCTCAGGGGTGTCTTAGAGGCCCTTTGGGCCATCTTCCCCTTGGTGGATTCCCTGGCCGCCACGGGTGCCTCTTGGACGTCTCTTTGGGCCCTCTTGGGTTGCTGCTGCTGCTGCGGAGGACGACAAGGAGGAGGAAGAGGAGGAGGAGGAGGAGGAGGAGGAGGAGGAGGAGGAGGAGGATTGTAGCGTATTGCTGATGCACTTTAGGATAGGCGTACTCATGATGAATCGGGTGGGGCACATGTGTTTCCCCATCCTTGACTGTGCTCATGAAGATTGGGAGGGCCAACCTTTGGTCCTAGAGCCTGTTGCAAGTGCCCTTGTTGGCACCTTGAGAAGGAGGGGGGAGGAGGAGGAGGAGGAGGAGGAGGAGGAGGAGGAGGAGGAGGAGGAGGAGGAGGAGGGGGAGGGGGAGGAGGAGGAGGAGGAGGAGGAGGAGGTGGAGGAGGAGGAGGAGGAGGAGGAGGAGCGGGATCGGGATAGGGCCTGTGGGATTTCGCCTGCTGCTTCTCACCTGCCAAGCTACTGCGGGTCGAGAGCGACGCAGTGAAACTCTGGGGGGCGAAGCCTTCAAGTCGTCAAACCGTCTGGTGCGGCCCGTGCCTTACGTCGGACGCCGCACCGCCCCTGCGGGCACCCTCGTCACAGCACGCAGCCTAAGAGGGGCCCACTGTAAGGACTAATGAGATATGCTTCCACCAGAAGGACGGAAGGAGGACGGAGGATGGAGGACGGAGAACGAGCGTGGCGCGCCTCGAGGGACCTCAGCCAGCTCACCCTGACCATCCTGCAGGCGGGGGCCTCGCGCGACGGCCAGATGTCGGGGGCGAGGGGTGCGCTGCGGAGGGGTCACGAGGAGGTCCCTTCTTCGGGGGGAGGGCGACGATGTTTTTTTTTCAATGCTCCTGATTCTCCAGGCAGTGCCTGCACTGGGAGGTTCTTTTTGCTTCTGTCCCGAGGGAGTTTTGGACTGGCCTGGTGGGGGTTCGCCTCGTGGGCGCCTCGTGGGCGCCTCGGAGCCTGGGGGCGGTCGTCGTGGGCGTCTCGTGTGCGCCTCGCGTAGCTTGCGGTGCACGTCGCTCGCACCACACATAGAGCTTGCACCACTTGGCTTGCACCTGAACGCCTGCACCGCACAGCTTGCACCGCACTGCTCTCACCGCACAGCTTGCACCGCACTGCTTTCGCTACACCTCTCGCACCACACATAGCCTGCACCACACTGCTCACATCACACAGCTGGCCTCCCACACATATGTTGCGCCACATTGCTTGCAGCTCGCACAGCACGCACCACACAGCGTATCCCACATAGGTCGCATAAACAGAGTGAAAGAGCCCACTGTTTGGGGGTTATGCTGGCTGACATTTTGAAATAGTATGTAGTACTCTGCGGCACCTGAATCCCCCCCTCTTCAGGAGGATCCCACCCCCACAAGACGCCCTGGCAGTGCATGCGCCCCCGATAGGCCTGAGTGCACCTTCCGTTCCGGAGAAGCACACCTCCACGACCACGAGCGAGAGCACACGTATACCATGATATCGTCGCAAGAGAACCTGCTCGTCGCTGAGGTGCCGCACCAGGCAAGAGGCCAGGACCTCTTGCGAATCTTGACGCGAGAACCGCCCCCGAATCGGAACGCCGACGCCTTGACATGGGCCAGCCAGTGACCAGCTGAGCAGCAATTCGGAGTTCGTGACCCACCACGGATCATGGGTGCAAAGGGCTCGCCGTCGGCACCGCGAGGCGTAAGTTAGACTTTCTCACGTAAGGTCGCTACGTCCTCTCGCAGCGAGTTTTGAAGGCTGGCTCTGTGAGCATTCGCTGGTCTCGTTGGCTCGTCAGACTGGCCCGAGCAAAATCACCTGCGGTACCGCCCTCCCTCTTGCCAGCACGCGCGCGCAGCAGCGAAGAGGAGAGGGGATGGTAACAGTGCTCTCTTCGTGGCTCGCCTGCTCGTCACAGGCTCGCACAGAGACACCAGGAGCGCCGCCGCGTGCAAGGCCGCTGTGCCCTCTCGTGTCAGGCCCCCTCCTCTTCGTCGCTCGCCCGTCAACGATCGGCTCGCGCAGCGGCGCTATGGAAGCCGCCGCGTGTAAGGTCGCTGTGTCCTGTCGCATGGGGCCCCCTCCTCTTCGTCGTCCGCTCGTCAACTGCCGGCTCGCGCAGCGGCACCACGGGGAGGGCAGGGCAGCCCCCAAGACGGCCGAGCAGCGCCCCAAGAGGGCCCCGAGAGGCTCCCGAGAGGGGGAAGTCACCCGCCGACGCTTCGAGCACTCCGGCCCCACGGGCTCCCAGGAGGCCCCAGGAGGCGCCCCAGGAGCCCCCCCAAAAAGGCCGCCGAGGGGCGCAAGAGGGCCCTCCCGTCCCCGCGATCCACCGGGCCACCGCGGCAGCGGGCTCCCGCCGTGCCGTGGGCGGGCGCGCAGCGGGGCTCGAGCGCGGCCGCACCGAGCTCGCTCGCCTCGCCTCGCCTCGCCTCGCCTCACGAGGCCCAGGGGGCCCCAGGGGCTCCAAAATGGAGCCAAGAGCCGGGGGCACCTTGGGCCAGGGGCGCTTCTAGCAACACCCGACCGTGTCCGCTGGCGCGCCACGTGCCCGCGCGCGCGGCGCGCTGCGACGAGAGCCTCCCGACGCCGGGCCCCTGAGAACGAAAGTGTCGAGGATGAGGGTGGGGAGGGAGGGGGTTATGATGTTCCAGCCTACCGAAGCTTTGATCACCAGAAAGAGTTTCGAGCACCAAAGAAGTACCGAAACTCGAGGGCTTTCACGTGTCGGGCCCTGGGAGACACTCGTCCGACACTGTTGCGACGCTGTTCCGACATTCTTTCGACACTTTTCTGGGTGCTCGAGATTATTTCTGGGATGTGGTCCTTAAGGACGATGGGAGCAGCATAAGGAGGGGGAGTCGTTGCGCGATACCCGGCCCCGAACCGAACCTCCAGGTCGGTTTTGGAGGTCGTCGCGGCGATGGCGACGGCGGCGGCCACAAATCGGGGAAAGGTCTTTTGTCAGGGAGTGTCATGCCCGTTCCCGCCCCCCCCCGCCCCGCTCTGCGATGTAGACGTGGCTCATAATTAACAACAGCGACAGAGACTTGTCAGTTTATGTCCAACATGGGCAGTCCTGTTCTTTTGGTTCGCGGCCGCTGGTCAAGCAATTAGGGAGGAACGTATGGAGGGAGGGCGAGACCGGATGCGACGATAGGGACGACGAGCCCAGGGGCGGGCATCACACGTATGTGCCAGGGAATCCCGCTGAAGACATGGACCATCGGTGCCCCCTGGATAATTGTATCGCTCCCCCCACGGGCTCTTCGCACCTATAGTCGCCGCCGAAGAGAGCAACGACGAGTTAGGGGAGGAGGGAGGAGGAGGAGGAGAAGTAGGAAGAGGAAGAGGAGCGGTTTCTTCTGGAAGTTATGGAGCTGTTCCGATGGGTGTGTATGTGTATATATATGTATATATATATATATATAGATATAGATATAGATATACCCCCGTGCACGAGGCCAGGGCGCCCGGGACCGCGACCTCGACTGGGCATGGGGGGTCCGGGGCCCCCGTGCACGAGACCGGGGCGCCCGGGACCGCGACCTCGGGTGCGCATGGGGGTTCCGGGGCTTTTGGGGCGCTCCCGCGACGCTCCTGGAGGCGCCAGACCGCCCCAGAGAGGCCCAGGACGCTCCCAGAAGTGCCAGGGGAGCCTCCAAAAGCCTCCCCAGGAAAGTTTAGATGGCCCCAACGTGGCCAAAGATGGGCCCAAGACGGCAAAGACGGCCCAAGAGCCGCCCAAGACGGCCCAAGAGGCCCCCAAGACGGGGGGGATCCGAATGGACTTTTCGGACCCTCGGCCCCAAGAAGCCCCCAGGAGCCCCAAGAGGCGCCCAGGAGGCCCCCAAGCAGCCCCACAGGCCTCCAAGAACCCCCCCAGAGAACTCCGAGAGGCGATCCGAGATAGCCTCACGAGGCCAAAATCGTTGATGTTCATCATTGTTTTTTGCGATGTTTTTGTCTTTCTCGCTTTTCCAGCTTTCCGACGCTCCAAGACGGCCCTGGAGGCCCCCAAGGGAGCCCCAAGACGGCCCAGAGAACCCCAAGGGAGCCCCATGACGGCCCAAGAGAGCCCCAAGACAGCCCAGGAGGCTCCCAAGCGAGCCCCAAGACGGCCCAAGAGCCGCCCAAGACGGCCCAAGAGGCCCCCAAGACGGGGGGGATCCGAATGGACTTGTCGGACCCTCGGCCCCAAGAAGCTCCCAGGTGGCCCAAGAGACGCCCAGGACGCCCCCAAGCAGCCCCAGAGGCCTCCAAGAACCCCCCCAGAGAACTCCGAGCAGCTCCCAAGAGGTCTCAAACAGCTTTCTGACCGGACGCCCTCAAATACTCTTGCCGCTCCCGCGCCCGCCCGTCGCTGCGCCGGCACGCCCTGACCGGGGGCCCGGGGCCGCGACCACGACAGCGCATGCGGGTATGTGGCCTCTAGGGCGCTCCTGAGATGGCCCAAGCCCTGCCCTGGCTGTGCTCCCCAGAGCTCCTGCCCAGTGGAGTTCGATGCACCAAATGCTCGAGAGCTGCCTGGGGCTCTTCTTCGATTGCCCAGCCGTGCAGGTTCTGCATCAGTGCACCGTGTCAGAGCTGCCCGTCGCCGCCCACGGCTGCGGAGCGCCGGGCAGAGCTTGCCAACCTCCACCTGTATCAACCTCGTGCTCGATCGCGTGCTGTAACCCAGGCGCGTGTCCAGGACCTGCGGATCACCGTCTTGCCGAACAAGTGGGCCGGCTGGCAGTGTTCATTGTGTCCGTTTCGCTTACCTGCTGATGTTCACGATGGGGAATACCATCGACGTGCTCATCTCGAGGCCCACGGGCAACCTGGCCGCGAGCTCCTGGCAGCCGGGCGCACCTCTGTGACGAAAACCTTCGCTGGCGGTCGGCTGGACACGGCCGTCTTCACCCGCAAGCGAGCCAACACTCGCCGGCAGGATTACATTGAACGAGTTCGACTTACTGTTGCCGTTCTACCTCGCTGGACGTGCCGCCCTGTCATCGACGAGCCGGTCCCTGAGGCCAGCCCTGGTTCGAAGGTAATGTTGCGGTGCTCTGAGTGTGGGTACTTCAGCGGGGACTTGCAGCGCATCCTGGCTCTGGAGACCGGGAGGCCGTGCACCGCAGCGCCCGCCGAAGCATTGGCTGAGGCGGCGACCCTTTCGGCAGCCGAGCGGCGCGCTGCTCTCCAGAGTGCCGTCGACGACATCAAAGCCCAGTTTGCCGAGCATCGAGGACAGCGCAGGCGCGAAAAGCGCAAGCTGTATGCAGCTGCGCGCCGGCGCCGCGACCTCTGCTGAGGTCAAGTCGTCGATCAAGCTCCTGACGTTCAACATCGGGAGCTACACCTCACGGCGAGCTGGCCTTCTCAGGCTGCTCGCAGCGCACTTGCCGCATCTGTGTTTTCTACAAGAGTGTGCCCTGCCGAACGGCCAAGCACACATTCTTCGAGCTGATCTTCAGACGCTGGGATACTACACCGTCGTCGGCAAGAACGGCTTGTGCACGATCATCCGAACGGGCCTCAACGTGGCTCCCATCGCCGCGCAGGCTAGCGACGAAGGCTTCCGCGTACAGCGCCTCGCCCTACAACTCGGGGAACACCGGGTTCTTGTCCGGCACCGGCACGCGCACTCCGGGTCCGCCCAGGAGCGCCAGAGGTACGACGCCAATCTTCGAGCAGAGGCCGTGGACACCCTCACCATCGACGTGGGGGACTTCAACGAGCACCCCGCCTGCTACGAGGGCG